TTTATTGGTCGATATTATGTTTGCTTTCAGATACTAACGGTTGTATTTCATATTGTATCATGATATGAGGAATGATAAATACGTACACTTATTGCGAAACGGATTCACATGATAAATTTGTATGTTTAGTAACGAATTTTGAAATGTTTTTCCATTTGTCTCTTTATTGAGTATGTGTATTTGTCTCGGAGGATTTTTGGTTTTTATCAGCAGCCTCATCACGGCAGATCAAAATTTGTCACAAAACAAATATGGCATCACTCTTTATCATTCACTTGTGAAAACAAGCGACTTACTTACACGTGATAATCATCTAAATGCACTAGAAACAGGTATCAAAAAGTTGGACAACTTAATTCATGATGATTTGACTTTGGCTTTCTAATTATGATAGCACCTGTCAAACGTGTAGACTGTTGTGGTCCGAAATTAATTTCTTGACACGAGCTCAGCTCCAATTTGTCAAAACTATGACCACATTAATACATCAGGATGCCAAATTTGCATTTAAACGTTTACGATAGAAAGATAATTTGAGAAATTACAGTTATTTTAATAGAAATTATAGCTGGCGTCCCGTGGCAGTCGATAGGGGTCGATTTTTTTACGAAAACATCTGTTGTGTGGATCGTATGAGTTTTTGTTATTTTAAAAGGAGACATGATGGATCAGTTTCAACACGTATTCGTCGGTGCCTTTGTTGTTTGGTTTATGGCTTTGTAATGTGTTTCTTTGTTTGTTCAGTATGTGTTACAGTCGCTACCAAAGTTATCTGAAAAAAATTTGGTCTAGTAACTTATGGAAACTGGCTATTGGCTAGCCTATGACGCAGCTAAAATTTTATGAAATGTTTCATTGCTTCGATAAGTAAAAATTGTCATAGAAATGACACCGAACTATAAGTGATTCCTTTTACGTCTATACGTCATAAAAAGCAAAAGCATTTTTCTTTATTCTTCACTTTTTCATATGGTTGGCTTCACGGGTTACGCCTAATCTCCATTAACAATCTCTAAAGGGGTTTCAATTCGAAATTCAATTACACTCAGATTATAGGCTAAACCATTCAGTTTTTCTACAATAGAGGCGACATTGTATACAGCATGTGCAAAAACTGTAGTGACAAGCCTCGCCGAAGTGTGGGAGTGTTCGAGTTTTCAAGAGCAAGTCTTTTAAAACCACCGTTGCGTGTTTTTGAAATAGGATTTAGTGCAGATTGCTGGTGACGACTGAGGGTCACATAATCTTATCTTTTACGTAAAAAACATTCCTTTAAAAGATTTCTTTCGAATGCTATTTGTGGGCCATGTGACATTTACACGTGTAGGCGGTTTAAGTATTGTAGACTCTCTGTTTGGGATTACGTATTTTTTGTTCATTGGCGTCATTGTACTTTTTTGCGTCGTATTAGTCTTCTTTGCATCTTATCGTATCCTCTCGAGTCAGAAGTTCAGATCTTGACATGTGAAATGAATGGCTTGAGCCAACGCCCAGATGAAATGCATTTTTTTAATTGCGCCTGATTACGATTCTTTATTACCATTGTGAGTGATCAAATGTCAGAAACGAAATCCATCAAACTAATTTAATTCAAAACGTATCCATTTCTTTTTTGCAAACAAAATAATAAAGGCACATTTATAGCGGTTACAGAGAAAGTATTCAGCAATAAAGTATAGAAAAAAGAAACGAGCAGGAGTTTTGATTGATCACCGAGTCGGGGTTTTTTGTGTGAAATTAAAAACGCGGAGTGGGCATGCGTTGGATTAGAGAGGAATTTCAGCCAGTCCGACCCCGCTCTTTGTTGGCCAAAACAAATTTTGAAATTAATTTATTTCTCGGAGAAAAGAATTTGGGCATCGATTTCCCATTAATGGCTAAAGAAATAATATCAATCATGTTGTGATTACCAGCAGGACTACTGTAAGCTTCATGGTTGTTTCGATGAAGGACATAGTATGAAATAAAAATAAAGTTCCTAAAGCTTCATTAGCTAATGTCACGATTTTCAGTGAACTAAATCAACACATATAAGTATCTAAATAAATGAAACCCATTTGAATCTAAAACAAACTGAAATGAACATCAACAGAGGAACCGCAGGCGCACCGCAAACGAGTAATTAAAGCATCTATAATATATTAACATTATGCATACTAAATTCATGGGAGACTTAGTCGAAATGTTAACTGGAATGGTTAGGGAGATGTGTAACACCCAATACCGCAAAGGTAAGAGTAATAATAGAAGCTATTTGGAGCTTTATGAACGATCAAAATTGCAAGAGCACGTGTATAAAATACACTTTGCAAAGTAGATTTAAATTTTAATACGGAGCTCTCAGTCGAGGGTTGTAAGTAATGTCTTAGCGTTGGAAACGAGTGGAAGCGCTACTTGAGCGATACAGCTTGAGACTTTCAGGATATTATTTCTGATCGAATCGGCTTTCAATTTTAATAAGAGAACTATGCTTGCTTACATATTTTTCAATTGATTATCTTTTCATGTTTCTTCTTCCTATTAGTGAGAAAGACGTTCTACAAGTAAGCACGCCTTGACATGATCTTAGTGCCCTCAGTACCTGTCAGTGTTAGTACAGACCGCTATTAGATCGGACACCGGCCTGATCAGCACCTCGTCAAACACGTATTATTGTGGTGTTGTAGCGAGCGTGGTTCCGTGTTTACTTGCGGCGCTGGGCACCGTACCGGCCTGGGCGCGGGCGACGCCTCGGGATATCCACGCTAAGTGCTCGGCCCAGGGAGACTCAGGTGTCGACTGCGGCCGATTTCACAAGACAATGCTTAATAATTTCATTTCGCCATTACGGCGGCCATCTTTGCCAGTCGCACAGTTAGAGGGCATCGCCGCACCCCTCCACGGCAATTTGCATTGTAACTCGGACCACGTAGAAGGCCCTAACTGCCATACCACCACCTCCTAACTCTTGAATATATAATTTTGTTGCTTTTATTAACAGCAACTTTGCGTGGGAATTGACGATAGCCTTCCGCGGCGACTGTTTATTGTGGACGATAACTTGCTAGATTTATTTTATAGTTTCAGCTAGAGACTTTGTCAAGGAGGGTTGTTCGTACCGCATACCTACGTACGCTCTGCGGCTCTACCTGACGCTTTTATACTGCCAATAAAGAGGGCCAATGCATGGAGGGCCATTAAAATATTTGTTGGATTTATTTGACAGCGGGCTTGTTTTGTTGAAATGTTTATTGCATTTGAGTACAACAATGTTGCGTAAATTAACTACTTAATCATATGCAGTAATTGCGATTGAAACGTACGTTTTGTTTCTTTGAAACAGTTTCGTGCATCTTTTGTAACTTTTAGTCAAATGTAACGGAAATAAAAGGAAGTCATCGGACAAAATATGGCTGTAACCATAATTGCTTTTCCGACCCGAGCCTTAATGTAAAAGTTGGCGAGACTTAAAAGTTTGTTTTAATGCCTATAAATTAATGTGTTTGCATGTCTCCGCTGCTGTTTGAGATCATTTAACAAGTTTTCTCGTGTTTGAGTACTTTTGGAGTTGTGATTTAATTGTTAATTTATTTCCATGAAAACTGCCAATTTATTTATTTATCTTTACCATTTACATTTATAAACATTTGTCTCACCAAAGTGGCATCCTCAATTCTTGCGTAGGTACCGTTCAATTTGGGTTCGTTTATCTTTAAAGACAATTCAATAGGCTCCCGATCCGGGGTTGTAATCGATTGGCCGAACTTATAAGCCGGAGAGAGTACAGGAAACGCGGAAACATCGGTCTCCGGTGCGGAATAAATTGTGCCTCTAATTCTAATGGCTATGGCGACTTTTAGGGGAATGTATAATTCCATTTCGTGTTTCCAACTCTTTGGGGGCCGGAATATAGACATTAATCGGTTTTGAAAGGTTTCCTCCGGGGGAACTTGGTAATGCTCCATTTCTTTGTGCTTAAACTTGCCAGGAAGTTCATTGCCATTTATTTATTTTATTATAGCGGTATTTATGTAATTTGTTTCTGTTTTGTTTTTAATGAAATATGACTTATTGCTTCCCATTAAACAGTTCCTAATGTTTTTGTTTGTAGATAGTGTCAAAGTTGCTCTAAGTACGTACGCAAAGAAGTCATTCAAAAACTTAGCGTGCAGGAACCACACAATGCGACACGACATACAGAAATTAAACTCTTTCTTAGCCCATTCAGCTGATCACTGGCATTCCCACACAGGCGCAGGTCTTTGTGAATGAAGTGCGCACTGCACACTGTGATACGGGCATCTTATGTCTATCAGGCAGGATATTGACACTCGTCGTGCTAACCTATTGTTCTTGCACTATTATGCAACCAAGTACTGGCAGTGTGCTATGCCCAAGTGCTGTGGAGTGCTCTTTCTACGCAAGGAGGTGTCATGTTACGAACACGTGTGGACTGTGAGCGAGATTTCATTTGAGAATGCACTTTCACTAGTAATCTCATTGAAATTACGAGTCATTAAAACAACTGTCGCATATAGACTTGCGGTTGCAGACATTGCACGAGTTGTCTGGTTTTATGTTATGTTATTCTATTATTGATAGTGACCAATGTTCAGTGGATTGATTTTTATTACTAGAAAATCACTATCATTTTCTTGTAAAACTTTGTCAAATTGATATCTACTACCAACGCTAATAATAGTAGGTACCTAAGTAGGTACCTATAATAAATCTGCGTAATAACTTCATCTCTCGTTATCTTCACCAACAGAGGAAATTCCTTAAATTTTAATCTTAATCTGTTCTATGTTTAATTTTTAATCCATTCGTTGACCGGGCCATACATCATTGTCATGGGATTGTCACATGATTACTTACTAGGTATATTCATGTGTACTTACTTACATTTTGTTGTGGTTCTTTAGATTTCCTTTTTATCATCACCTGATGTCTTTGAATACCAAATTTTAAAACACTTCTCGTGGTAGGTATACAATTTTTGGAAAACTTGCAAAATTTTCCACCGCAGGCAGGATTTGAACCTGCGACGGACTGCGATCTTCGGCATCTGTACTGCAGACGCCACTACCAACTGGGCTACCGCGGTTCTAATCTAGCCTGTGAATTAAGCAAGTATATCTTGTCCACTAACGCGTGGATGGATATACTTGCTGATATCTTTTACTGGCTATACTATTGTAGATGGTTAAGATTTAATTTCAGTTCCTTCGTTTTTTATTCGTTCCATTTTGAATTGCGATCGTCCCCTAATGCGCACAATCAATCTCTGGTAGCGTTTGTTCCCGAGCTAATCGCGGAGTGGCGTTCGCGTCGCGGCTCTTTCGCGCGTTATAATTAGTACAAATCGACTGCCGCCAGCCGGTAGGCTGAGGAAAGGCTTAGACATGGCTGGGTGTTGTACAACACAGATATATTTAGTTCAGTAAATTACTTAAGTTGCTGACTCAACGACCCAAAGTGGATCTTGGCCTCCGACACTAGGTTTCGACATTCTTCTCTGTTTTGAGCGGCCTGTCTCCAATCGGCCACATAGAGCGCTCCCAGGTTTTTTTGGACTTCGTCAATCCTCAATCCAGCGATACCTAGGACGATCAAATGGACATTGTCTGTGTGGTTGACCCAGGTACCTATAGGTTGGTCTCGTGCGGCCAAGAGAGCATGTCTAGTTGGAATAAAGCTTTGCTATTCTTTGATTATTCACTTGCAACTGATATTTTTTGTGTCGGTACTATAAAAGTGTTTAGATAGGCACTGAGGCAGGTAACTAATATTCAGGCTGTTCCTACACCATCCGTATGAGTTCCCGGTATTTACTTAGTGTATTTTTACGAAATCCGCCCGCTGCGCTGTTATGTATACATTTTTGAAGGGCATAGGTCGTCATTGTTATTGTGGCTGTTCTGCGCTGCAATATACCTAAATCCGATCCATATGGGGTGTAAGTGTAAGGTGAAAATATAGCAAGATGACCTATCTAAGCATTCACAAGCCTTCTTGATAGGCATGGAATTTGTAGTCTCTAGAGTTAATAGATTCGATAATTCATCGCGCCGCGCGTTTGAATCGATACCGCGATTGATGGCGTCTTTAGAGCCACATTCGGTACGAGTGTCGGTTCTTACTCTGGGTACAAGTAGGTACCCAATCGTACAGATTACATAATACATTGATTCAAAAATACCTGTAATTAAAACAACTTCAAAAATACCTATTCGTTTTCATTTCTGATACTCTTTAACAACTACAATAGTCTTCGGGGGAGAACATAGGACCTAAAATACTTATTATTTCTTTATAACGAGTCTATAATTAAAATACATAATATAGATATATTTAAAATACATATAGATAATTCGCACCAGCCAATTCATAGGTACTTACTTAATCTGTGCTATAATGCTAGAAAAGAAATTCGGCATTATTCCAGATACATTTCTTTAAAACTACTTAGGTATTTTTTGCGTGCATGAGGACGCGATTAATTCCAATTCAATAGTTCCAATTTATGCAAAGTCTGCTCTACCTACTTACGCATTATTAAAAGAAAAAATAAGTAGGTCGATTTGTAACTAGGTAGCTAATGATAGACTTTAAAGTCTGCTAAATGTGACTTTATCTTCTTTTCCCACAATAATGGATTCCAAATCTGTGTCGTCGAGCAATTCGGTATGCCCTCCAGTGCTCTGTACTTATGCCTGAGTCTCGAGAGTCGCAGCAAGTGAAGTCGACTCGGCAAGAAACGAGCGCGCCACAACCAGCCTTTGTGGTCACATTCCACTGATCGCTCCGCTGACGCCGCCTATAAATGAAACGAATTAAACGTTTTTTTATTTAATTGCCGAGCGGTTTATTCGAATCTGTTTTCATTCCTGTCATTCAAACTCAACTTTTTGCAACAAAAAATGGTGTTAAATCATGCCAAGTCGGTGTTCTGGGCCGGATTCATCTGTAACTAAGTAGTTTATCGTAAACGGCAGCAAAGTTGACAATGAAGTCGATTATCACCAAAACTGCTACCGTGGAGTGGAAGACCGAATTCGGAATAAACTCAGCGTTACTAATGATCGTCCAAAAAACTGTCGGAATTGAATCCAAACATTTGTCTGTTAACGAATCGTGTCGCGGCGGCAGCGCTCAAAGCGGCGTGATTCGGCGATTCCGTTCCATTTTCAAATGCGCGCTGCCCATTCGTTCCCTCGGCTACGCCTACCCAATAAATTAGATGCCTCGCGTAGCACACCGCATAGTTACCAAACTAATGAAATCCTGAAAAGATCTCAACCCATTTTCTTAGCAACTTTTCCGAAAGAGCAAGCGCCTTCAAAGATTCTACCCGAGAAATAATTCCGCTAATAACGCGCAGCGCGAGCGCGGGTATGTTATGCAACCATAGGAATTTCATTAGATACACACGCGTCTGTTTGTTAAGGCGCTTTCCATTGCTAAAAGTTTCTTGAGGCGGGTATAATTCCTTTGTTTGTTGTCGGGGGAGGCGCCCCCCTCCTCACCCACTACGTTTTCTAAGTCATCGGCTCCAATTATGCCCCTTTGTAGGTTTTGATATGTAAATTCGCGATTTTATTAAACAAACCGTGATGCCATCCGGGGGCAGCGAGGCGGATTAATAGCTTCTTCAGATTTGTGTAATCGCTTTCTCTTAAGACAACATCTCCGATAAGTCGCGAGGGAGTGATTCTCTTTTAAGTGTGTTGTACGGGAAATGTATCCGTTTGATGTTGATCTGTGGATAAGCAGGTAGATTAGGGAATTGTTTCTCCTATTGAAATTTTACATCCAAGAAACGCTTTTACGGACGATGTAAAGGTAAAATCAAACTTCAGCGCAATACGCGGCGTAGTGCGCCGACAAAATATGCATGGACTCGTGGATTTTCAGGTATCTCATACAGGCCCAAACGAACCAGTCTTTTTGACAGCAGCGTCGGGCGCGCCGCACCTTAATGGTCCTCTTGCAAAATCGAGGAGCAGCAAAACAGAAACTAGGTAGGTACTTAGCAGTAAACCCACGGGTACCTGTAAAGCATTAATACCACATAATTCCGATTCCGCATAAACACGGGACGGGTTGTCCGCCGCTATTGTCCTACAAATTAATCTGCACATAGAACATAAACCGGACGTTACCACCGAAACTACCCATTCGATTTAAGCTTAATTTTTCCCCGGCACTATTAATAATTTAGCCGGATAACGCCGTCATATTACAACGCATAAATTAATAATGTCGCGCGCTTGTTTAACTGCGAATCAGATGAGTTTTATTGACAATTTTGTTGGGAAATGGCAATTTGCGGAATGACCGTCGAGTGGTCATCGGCGGGAGGGGGAGAAGTGGTCATCAGAGGAGGGGGGAAAGTGGTCATCGGGGAGGGAGAAGTAGTCAACAAACAGCAACGCAAAAGTACCTACTACAAGGCAAAAGTACATGACTATAATTTTTAATATTGGACATAAAGTTATGAATTCAAATTAACACTGAGAACTTAATACGTACATACCTATCAAGACTTCTGAATTGGATCATTTTACGCTGCATCTAACTTTCACGCCATAGCTATCAAGCAGCTGTCATATTATTTCAGTTGCATCACACAACCTATTTTATGAATAGGGAATGGAGTATCAGTAGCCAAATGGCAATACAAAATTTAACTTACCATAATAGGACCAGTGACACGAAGAAGAAGAAGAAGAATAGGTAGATATTTACAGTAGCTGCCAAATACAACTCGTGAAAAGGCTGTACCGTCCCGAAAACACATACCTACCTACCTACTTACCTACCTATTCAATATGCGCCGCTAATAATAGCAGTCCATTAATATTGTCCGTATGGGCAGTATGGGCACTACAATCAAACTATCAGCATGCGAATGTTTGGTGCGCATTATTGTAACTCAATCCGTGGCGCGAATGTACCCAATTGCAGGGGTGCGTTTTGTGGCTCTGGGCTGGACGCAGGCTGGAAGGTGGGTCTCACACTTGACGAAAAGTGCAAAAGAGACATTTATAGGGATTGCATCTACCTAAATAAGTGTAACAGAGACAGATGGCAACGCAAGCTATGCTTCAACGTCCGTTTTATATGTTCAGCTCTTTGGCTGATTTCGGCCATGGCGACCACTTCTACTCCTGATCAAGACGGCGCTGATGCACCCGTAGGTGGCTATTGTAGACCGTAGGTGGCTATCCGTTTTTACTAGGTATTATGGAGCATTCGGAATTTCCTTGCACCTGACAGACGCATGTTACGGATGTTTTATTACTGCGCAGCAACGGATATCAAGTGTAATTCCCTTCGCATGGAGCCTAGAGCTGAAACCACAGACACCGGGCCGGGTAAACAGGGGACCGAACTATTAGTTTATTCAAATCATCTGTGATAATTGGTACTTCAATTTAAAACCCTTGGTGCCAGCCGGAAAAGTGCATTGGCCGCAGTTCCAAGTATTTATTATATTTGTCCTTGAACTTTAAAAATAATTAGTAGGTATTTTGACTGAGATATATACCTAACATTTGTGCAAATATCGGACAAAATGTCAAAGATCTCAAAAAAGTAGGTTCAGGAAAAATCGGCGACAAATACTTAGACATCGGAAAAGTTTGATCTCTGATAGAAATTGCGAGGAGGATTTTCTTCAACGAAGATTTTATTCACTTAATTTTCAAATAGTTAGGTATCATCCCTGATACGATGATATACTCATTGCAGTGCTGGGGTGCATTTGGATAGTATGGATGCATTTAGTGGCTAAAACCTGGCACAATCAGTGCTGAAACCACAGACGATTGAGCTGTATAAACAAGGGAGGATGGATTATTGTTGGCTTGTGAAAATAATTTGGAAATCATTGCCAACGTGACAATGCCATTTCTACACCACCAGCACATGAAGGTTTCCTATACCGCGGCACCATGCCTTCCTATACTGAATTTTAATAAGTAGGTATGAAAGTTGCCACTTTCGGTTCTTGATTGTATTTTCTTAAATGGGCAGTGCAGGCTGTTTCAAAAATCATCCGATAAATAGGATTGGAACATAAAAATAGAAAAAAGGATCTCG